TATTATTATAGATTCGAACCAGTCAGTTTGAATCAAATCAAATCAGTTCAAATCAAATTATATATTCGAATCAGTTCAAATTGTATCAAATTATATATTTGAATCTGTTCGAATCAAATCAAATCAAATCAAATTCGAATCCATTTGAATCAAATGATATATTTGAATCAGTTCGAATCGAATCAAAGTACAATTCGATTCGATTTGAATTCGATTCGAACTGATTCAAATAAAAATTAAGTGATTCAATTCGATTTGAATTCGATTTGGTTCGAATCGGTTCGAATTTCATTGATTTGTTCAGAGCCTTAGGTAAAATTAATAGATAATCACATGTTCATCACATGTTTACATAACATTTTATCAGGGTATCACATAATTTACTAATTGAAATCTGCCCGTATGAGTGGTAGACATGATGACCCTCTGAAGAATTACATCCAATAAAAATAAGTCAGCTCATTTTTAAATTGGATAAAATTATATTGTTCTTTAAATTAGATAAATAAATATGTATGATATTTACATGACAAAGTATCAAGGTATGTACTGTATATATATTTAGGAAGCCAATGGTGAGATCTTGAATGATAGTGTAGGAATTAAGTTTGCTTCACATACATATAAATGAAAGCCAGTGTGGAAAGTGTAGTGTGAAACAAATTCAATTTAAATTTTTGATGTAAATACTACAATAAATAAAAAATTAGATTAAAAAATGAGGAACTTTATAACAATTTTGTTTTGCTCACTTGATATATAGTAAAATCTTTTTTCAATAGAAAGGATTGCCAGTAAATTTCCCTCATTTTCAAAACCCAAGGCTTTTTTTTTATTAATACATTGTCATTTAGGTTCTGTTGTATGTGAAATTGAAATCTATTGTTATGTATAATTAAAATCTTGGGATGTGTGTTTGAATATGAAATTCTGATTTCATGTGTGAATTGCAAATTCACATAAATTTCTAAGGGAATTGCTATTTCTCACTGGTGGTGATTGTCACCACCTAAGGAATTATACAATTTATGATTAACCCCAACCCTAACTCTGCCCCACGCAAATTTAATTCCTTAGGTGGTGACAATCACCACCGGTGAGAAATAGCAATTCTCAATTTCTAAAGCAAAAATAGAGCTTTTTTCCATTTCCAAATATAGTTATGTATGGCTATTTTTTGATGATCTGCACCATAGTAGATTTTTACTTTCTTTGCCCAGTTTTTGGCATACCACATTAAAAAAATCAAGTTTACTCACTTAAGGATATGACCTTATAAAATATGTTATTATTATAAATGTTTATATCCTTAGAATAGAATATACTTATTTCATCAATTCATTTAAATAATTATTGGCATTTTGGCTTATTTTTAAATACACTTGTGAAGGATTGGTACAAATTTAAGATCCAAATTCCAAACCAAAAGATGGAAAAGTATATTTGAGAGTTCAATAGATGATTCAATTTTTAATTTTGAAATGTTAATAATTTTCTGGATGAGATAAAAGATATTCTCATTTGAATAATCTTATAAATAATATATATCTTTATCCAATATTTCACGTGAAGTATTTTTGATTTTAAATCATGTATAGTTTCCGGGGTCCTATTGTGTCCCTTAGAACAAATTCGAAGAATTTTTTTCGGTACATAAAACCTTTTCCAAGTATCATTTCCGATGCAAATGATCTTTGAGATTCAATTTATTGACTTATGAAGTAAAAATTCGGTTTTTGTAATTGGCGAAACTGAAGACCATGATACCTTCAGTATCGGTATTAGTATTAGTATTAGGATAATCATATTTTTCGAAGAAAGAAATAATAAATTTATTTTTACTTTTCCATAAAATAATTGTTTTAATTATATAAATCTTTAATATTGCTTGTCTACCAAGTCTCAAACGTCTTAAGACATTTTTCCAATAAGTTAATGAACGACGAGACTAGAATTAATTCTTCAATACTAACTAAAATTATTCATTAACTAAACTACATGCATTGACCCCAACATTATCAATAAGACTTAATTCAGTAATAATAGAAATTATCTATTAGTGTAATAGTATGTTACTTGCAAACTAGAGAAGAAGAAAACAACATCACTAAGAATATATATGTTTATAATGTTTCCATTTTTATTTGATGATTTTACATTCTTGCTTTGTAAATTTCAATATCGGCATAATCTTTCTTTCTTTGTTATTATTTATTCCTTCTATGATTTTATAATTTCAACAAGATTTTCGACCGTTTGATTTTATATTTTATCAAATGTATTAACTCATCAACTTGCATATCAACAACCTTTAATGACTATTAAATAATAATAATAATAATAATAACCTACATATAAATATCTGGATTAATTTGTATTTTCCGCATTCATTATATCAATGATCTCATTATAAGTGAGTAAATAAATCCATATTTCGCCGTCAACACTAACTCCTAAAACAAATAAAAACGATTTAATACATATTTTCACATACACATACATATCTATATATGATGATTAATGTTATATTATTATTACTACTATTATTATGAATGTGTTACTTTGATTGCTGTAGTTGCTGTAAAAACATATTTAAAGGTGATAAGAGATCTTTATTTAGACATTGGTAGATACGATTACAAGTAAAGAATAATTTATATTATCAATTTATAATTTTTTTTTAATCTATTTAATAACAATAATTACTGCATTGATAATTGCTTGTCCTCTTATGGACCATCAAAATATTGGTAATTATTTGATATGTACTGTATGTATGTGCCCACATTCATATTCATTCACGCGCATTCCCATTTTCACATTTTATTTTAATTCAGTGTTAGACTTCACCAGGTGAATGGTCGTTAGCAACATTATTATCATTGCTAATCTCATTTACAACAATATTATGCCTATTTTGTTATTCAAGAATAAGTTACATGATATTCACAATTGAATGACCAGATAGTGTCAATGGAGGAAGAAGGAAATCAACGACGAGCAACAAAAGATGGCAATGTGTGAAATCCTAATTTACACTTTCAATTATTTGATCCAATTTTACCATTTATACTTGGGGCTGCAAATAGCAATGACCGATTTGGGTTTATTATTAATGTGTTATGACAATTAATATTGGCGGCGTATCAAATGATATTCAATATATTTTTAATGAGAAATATTATATTATAGCTGATGGTAATAGTAGTGATGGAGGACGTGGTGTAGGTGGTAGTGATGATAATATGAATAATGCTAATGGTGGGAATAATATTAATAGTGGAAATAGTAATATTGAAGTAGATGAAAATGTAGGTGGTGGAGAAGGAGGAGGTAATAATGACAATTAACAAATAAAGAATAAAAAGAATAAAAAGAAATGGAATAAGCCGTTTATCACAAGAAAATTAATTTTCAGTATTTACAAAGGATCCAATTAAAAAAATTAAAAATTAAAAACAGTAATAATATCAATGCTAATAACACCAATCATAACTAATCATAGCAATAATAATCTGCACAATAATGATTGTGATGTACCATTAATAATAACAATTCTTCACCAATTAAGAGATCTATTTCTAATTCAACACAAAATTTATCATCAATTCAAATTGAAATTTTAGAATTGGAAAAGGCTGTTGATGATGATGATTATGATGATGATGGTGGTGGTGAATGCTTTTCTAGTATTGTGAATAATAATTGTTGTTGTTGCTATGATGACAATAACAAATCATAGCATATATTATATATAAATATTATAAATAAGTTCATTCTCTCTATAACGAACCTTCCGTCCCTGTATGTAATTTTTCTTCCTTTGTTCGTTATATAGAGAGAAATTAATTATAAAAAAATGAATCAGGAATAAATGGGAAATTCACTGTAGAGAGTGTTTACTTAATGTTCGTTATAGAGAGAGTGAACTATATATTGTAAATAAATTAGCTGTAATATTTATTTACAAAAAAAAAATTATGTATTTTAAATTGAATTATTATTTTAATTTGTAGTGGCTGTATTTTCAGTTGTTGCAGTTGCTTTAGAGAAATATCCTGTCAAATAATTTGCTAATCCAAATGCTTGAGTTTCAGAAATTTCATTATTATTATTGTGAGTGTTATTATTAGTATTGACATTATCCTGATCTGAATATAATGTTACATTTGTATTATTACCGTTATTATTATTATTATTACTACTATTACCACTACTCTTATCATGGTTGTTTCTTGATGATGATCTCCTCCTTAACGATGAATCTTCATTATTACCATTATTCAATAACAATAATTTTTCTTTTGTTTCTTTCTGTTTTAGAGCTAGTCTTTTCATTTCCTTTTCTAAATGTTGTTGTTGTAGGAGTAGATTCTCTGATGTAAGATACGCATCAACATCATGATTATTCTTTGCATTATTATTATTATTATTATTATTATTATTATTATTATTATTATTATTATTATTATTATTATTATTATTATTATT